TTGGGTATGGAATACATACCCTTTTCCTCTCATTATTATGCTTTTTAGGTGATAATTGGAATATGAGTAGTTCTTTTTTTTCTTTGGTTCCTCTTGTTTTTATGATATTAAATAATTTGACTGAATCGATTAGAAAGAGCTCAATCAAGTGTTTATATTCTGACGTGCCTCTCACGGCTAAGTTAATTAGGTTAAAACGTGAATCAAATATTTATACTCCTACTTGCCTCTCATGAGTAGGTACACCTGTGTGAAGGCGTGAATTAAAGCATAGGTTAACCGGGTTTTGAACTTGAAATCAGGAAAACTTATGGTTCTGATATTATCTTAAATAATTGACTGGATAGAATGTCCAGAATATTAAACTTACTGAAAAAATAAATCTTCAATATGCACCCAATTATACAAAATTAAGAGCAAAACAGGAAAAGACATCGATTTAACGTAATTCGTCAAATATGCTTACATCCATGTGTAAGATCGAGAAGAAACTTTATACAATAATGAAAATTGAGAATACATTACCAATAAAATTGTAGGCTCTTATATAAATAAAATATTAGGTTTTTCCCATAGAATATTTTTTATATTATTCCTGGGTGAGAAATTTTATATTATATGTATATTTGTTAAATCACGTTAAATTTTGTATCTTTTTTTATTTTACTCTTTATTTTGTGTAATTGTGTGCGTATTGGGGATTTATTTTCTCAACAAAACTGATAAGATAGAACCGAATTAATTTTTTATAGCTTATGGTTGTTCTTGTATTATGTAGCTCAAAGAGATTCTTCTGCCTGTGGAATCATAAACAAGGTAGAGGAAGAGAAGGCGATTACTGGCAAATTGGATGGAAGTGGGGAATATACGCTCGTTTACGAAGACAATGAAGGAGACAGGATGCTTGTTGGGGATGTCCCATGGCAGTAAGCATCTTTTTATCACACTGGATCTGATGCAGTTTTAAGATTATTCTATTATGTTCTACCCCCCCCTTTTTTTTTTTTATTCCAGTATTTTAGCCTATAACCGAACACTCCAAACAACAGAATTAGATTCCTGCTCTTCTACCCTCATTTAATAATCTATTATGTTTCCATCATCTCTTAAAAACTATCATTACCAACATCATCAATCTCCTCTTTCCTGCATTTTACGTTTAACACTGTATGTATTTTAAAATTTGCAGCATGTTTGTATCGACAGTGAAGAGGCTGCGTGTACTGAAGACTTCTGAACTTTCCATGCTAAGCCGTGAGTGTGGTTCGATTATTTATTATGGAGAGCCATAACTCAGAGTTATAAAAATCTAAATATGGAATTGGGTGTTTGATGTTTTGCAGTTGGAAGCAGCAAGCAAGACAAGATAAACACTTGACAATGCAGTGGAATGAAGAAAGATGAGTTTTGTTCTTCAAGATTCTCCCTCAGGACTTGATTTGATTTGTGTTTATGTATCTTTTTTGACATATTTTGGCTTCGCGGTATTTTGTGTATGGAACTTGCAGCATATGTACATGTTTTTTTCTCCATCTTTTTTGACCCTTTTTAATTTAGCTTACTATGCTCTTTTTACATAAACTCTCGAGGAGTTAATGGATAATGGTGTAAAAATTGCATTAATTTAATGATGAATTGAAATTTGTTAGGACAAAAAACAGAGGAGCATCAGATTTTCTGGTACAAAATTGTATTTAAAGCTGATCCTAAGAAGGGAAGAGGTGTTAATGAGCTTTTAAAAAAATTATTATTTTTATTTATTAATTTAATTAATTAGTTAAAATTATTTATTTTTTGAGTTTTTTTTTTTTTTTTAAAAGACGTTCAATTATAATTGATTATTTTACTTGTTTTCGTTAAAAAAAAAAATTAAACATTTAAAAGAAATAAAAAATATCATAAATAAATAATAACAAAAAAAAATCAGAAACTCAGGAAACAAACTTCAAATAATATTAGGTGATTAGTGAGTTTGCAGCCTTTATAATATAAAAGAAAAATTCTCTTGATGAAACACAGAGTTTGGTAACGAGAGGAAATTGAAAGCAGCAAGTAAATGAAGTTTTTGGGAACAGTGAGTTGTCTTTGTCATTGAGACTTGCCTAACTTGGATGGGACCAACCTTATTATTCCCAAACGAAATTTCTACATCTTTATCATTCATCTTCTTATAACATTTATCTCTTTCATTTTCTTCTATGTCTGTACTTTTTAAATAATATGTAAATTTAACAAGGTGGTAAAGTAAGTTACACGTGAGTTTTAGTTCGAAAGAGATAAACAATAATAATGCACCTACAAGCAAATCATACGTGAAGTTACATACAATTACTCTAATAATTTAGTTCAAAGATACTACTTCTAATTATTATTTGATTAATTAAAGATTTTAAGTTTTGTTTGTTTTATATATTATTTGTCGCAAACGGATGTTGAAATTCATTATTCATAAATCTTTAATGGAATAGGCAATGCAAATATATCTCATATTAGATCACAGCAGTTTGACAAATTATCTCTAAACATAATTCATAAATCTCCTTAGTAATAAGTATATGATCATATTAAACCATAATATAATTGATATTGTAATAATTCGTAAATACTTATTAAATGAAAAAATTCATTAAATTTACTGAAAAATAAAATTTTTGGATAAAACTTTTATTGTATACATCGCTTGATTCAAATAGACTAATATATATTATGCTATCATGATAGAGGTTCTATCTTATCATACTTAATGACAATTAATAACCTCTATTCAAGATATATGAACCAACTTGCCCTGTCTCAATGCATTCCTTTTTTTTTTTTTTAAATTCAAGTGTGAACTTGAACAAGTCATGCTTGAAGACTGTATCTAATCAGGTAGTAGTTAAGAATAAAACTAACCCAACCCAACTCATTATTATGTATGTATATGGTTTATTATTATTTAAAAATAAAAACTGACTATATTAACTTTACTATCAATTTTCTTAACACTCTATTAAGTCGATCCTACAGCTAACACATTCTTTGCTTGTTTATGTTGCTTACTATATTGTATGTTGTTATTATCTTGCTTTCATTGCTTGTTCTTATTGTCTCATTTCTTCTTGCATCCTCTCACCGAGTCCCAATCTCTGTCTTTTAACTTTAACTCATTCTCACCTCATGTTTAAACTATATATATATATATATATATATTTCAAAAACTAGACAAATTTTGTGCTATCTCAAAAAGCTAACAAAAATCATTAAAATTCTTGAAAAAGATAAAGCATATAAAACTTTTTACCATATAAACAACAAACAAAATCATTAAAAAGCTTAATAAAAATAAAAAAGCCTTATATTTCATTGATTAGATTTTTTTTTTTCTTCTCTATGAGGTTGACAAGAAAATTTTGTTGTCACTGAGTGTTGGCGGCGATAATGACAGAGAGAATTGAGCGAAGAGCAGAAGAGAGAGAGGGGGAGGGGAGGGAGAATTTGTACAGAAGTTTTCTCTAGAGAGAGAAATTTTCGAATTGATTTTCTTTTGCAATTTAAGTATAATAGTGTTGGTATTAATGTTAGAAATTTTTGAAGTAAATTCAGATTTATAATACTAATATCTCTAATTAAAAAATGTTTTTTTTTTGTTTGTTCTCTTTCTTTTAGTAACATAATTAATTGACTAGTAATACCTATAACTGTTTCAAACCCATTAAGATATTTTAAAATCTTATAACAGGTTAAACAATTTCTAGAGTTTTTTTTTTTTTTTGGTTGCAAGTTGGTTTCCTATTTTGAGAAAGCACAATATGTCAGGTAGATGTCTCACAAATTCTATACATTCAACCTGATTTAATATTAAAAATTAAAATATCATCCGATCTAATTGTAATAAAATTGGTTAGCTATAATTAAATTATTTAATGAGTCACATGTTAGAATTTATGAATTGTTATATGAATTCTTCAATCTTGATAGGATGATGACTAAATCTTGATCTTGATACTTACTGAATATTGAGCACCGAGGATTTTGATGATCTTGATTTTGAATATGGAATAAATGTTTAGAATAAATTAAGAATTTTATAACATTTTTATTTAGAAATTCGTAACAAATATTATTTTTGGAACAAATTTAAAAAACTTTTTCGCTGAAATTCAATTATATTCCTAGGTGAGAGCTTAATCTTGCGATTCTCTGGTTTTCCT